GTATTCACTCGTGTAAAGTCGGGCACCACTCGGGAGAATTTGGGAGAATGCAACGGTTGGAACGGCCATTTTCCTATGCCTTTAAGCTACACTACTTTTAAATTCATGTCAACAACAACCATTCAGTAGAATAATTGTTGTCCTCTTTGTCTAAAATCTCCAACATATTTCATTTTTAAGAGGTTTAATTTGCTCTCCACCGACCTCAGATCTTAAGTAAAAGAATTATAAGAAGCCTCGTTAAATAGTAGAGCTCATTCTGTCTTAAAGTGCATTACTTGCCTTCAAGACTGAAAATGATTGTTTTCTACTTTTGGCTACTAGATTGCCAACGAAATGTAGAATAATAGCAGATATAGGTAATAATATGTTGAGACTCCAAAAGAGATTTGATTTTTATGATACGGGTGCAATACAGTTTGTCCGAGTGGAGTTGCCATATATTGATGACATCAGAAGGGGCGGGGCCCCGAGCCGATCTGGTGGTACGGAGCATGATCCGTACCACCACCTAATATTCAAAACCAGATATACATCCGGGTCACCCTCGATTTTATTTAGTAAAAAAAGACCTAAGCTACATTTTTCTCTCCCCAGAAATAGTAAGCCTACTAAACTATAATGTGTTAAAAGTTAATAATTTATTTCCTGAGAAAATAAATGCATTTATTAAATAATCTGTTCCCGATCTGCACTGGAAATGGGATCCTACGCTACTTCCTGGAGCTAACTTTTTCAGCTTTGGATTTAAAAATAAATCTTTTGATTTTTATGTTTCCCTTTCATGTTAACCTTATGCTTTATAGTGCGTAACCTAAATAACGAAACAACTAAAATGCAGATAAATATGGTTTCATTATATTTAGCCGGGCTGCTCTGAGAAGGTCCTCTGATGACGTCAGAGAAGCAGTTTAACGAAGAAAATGCAAAAAGCATCAAAATAATCTCCGAACAGTAATTAACAATTTTTTAAAGATGTGTGTTAGCAATCTTTAGCAATTTGCAGGATAGAAATAAGTACTTTTAGTACTTATTTCTGCCGACAGCATCCAGGGAGTCAAGTTTCAATCTAGTGGTGTTTCATGGAACACTCAGTAGAAGCATATCTATATTGGCTAGAGCTAGACATGTATTGAATGCTGAATAACTTCATATCCTATATAACTCTCTGATTTTACCATATCTATCATATCAGAAATGAGCCATTAGAATAATCCATAATGTTGGTTATTATGAGCATACAAACCCACTCTTCAAAAAATCCAGAATTCTCCAATTTGACAAGCTTGTAGAATTTAAAATGGCTCAATTTATGTTCAAAGTATCTAAAAAGTTGTTACCTGAGCACATACAGAGCATGTTTTCTGAAAGAGAAGTGGGGTATAATTTAAGGGGTTACTCAAACTTAAAGATGCGCAAGTTGCGAACAACAAGAAAAAGCTCACTGGAAAAACGATCTAGAAATAAGCAAAAATTTCTTAAATAAAGTGTATCTATCCTTAT